AAAAGGAGGGAAATGACGCCGTGATAGGATGTTCAGCCTCTTTAGTGTTCAGTTTGTTGCATGCTTGTCTTGGTTTATTGAGATCTACCCCTCTGCACATTAACAAGGGAGCAAGCGCTTGTAAACTCAAGTCACTGGACACAGTCTGTCGTTTTATAAGGTGACACGTTTTTGGTGGCGGGCAAAGCAAATGCGGTTCTTACATGTGGATGTTTAGGGGGGGAAACAGATTTTCTTTGTTTTTTGTGTTAATTCAGATGCATTATTTCAGTATGATCCTGGTTTCTATTACTCCTACCGCATTATGTTTGAAATAAAAGAGAAGTGAAAGATTTTAGGTGGTGTTTTTACAAGAACATGCAGCTCATGTTTGCTGTGACGCTTATTTCAGGTCTTTCAAAAAATAAAGTGCATAATTGTGTTGTTGTTGTGTTTTTTTTTTATCATCTGTACCCCACCTGCAGCCTAACAGCAGTGGTCAGGTTGTTGGAAAGGTCCCAGGCCACTTCACCCCAGTTTTGGCTCCCTCCCCACACCACGGCGCTGTGCGACCTGTCTCGCTTTCCATGCCAGACACCAAGCCCATCACCACATCAACAGAAGGTGAGCTCCAGTACCTGCTGCCCGCTACTGACACACAGTACCTACAGCACAGCAAATACAGCACTTCCTCACCGTGTAGTAGCTCACGCTAGAAACACACTGGATTGTGTTTTTTAATGTAGTGTATAGTCTGTGCTCTAAATTTGCATCTTTTCAATTTGCATCGCACTTAAGGTGGAAAGTCATTGCTAAGGGCAGCACTGATCTAATTATTTCTATTAGAAAAAAATAACCCTTGAAGAGTAAGTGAACATGAGAGTGACACAAAGCTAGTTAGTAGTTTGTCTGTTTCAATCACTCAGTATCAGTATTCTGGTAACCATGCCAACTGGATGGATTTGCCTGGGAGTATGCTTGTCAGTGCAGCCAGGTGAGACCATAAACCACTAGTGGGGGACAAAAAGATTTTAGGCTGTGTCTGACATTAGAAGCAAACGATAAAAGGAATCAGAGTGGTCCCAGCATTGAATCTTGCGGAACCCCTGCAGGCAGTTTTCACTATATGTTTATAGTTTAGAGTATCAGTGGAATTTAACAATGTTACTATGGTTACAGCAGTCAATTCCATGTAAATTCCCGACATCCAAATTTTAATCCACACTTATTTCTGTTTTTGTTTTGTTTTTTTTGTGATGCTATGCTACCCAGGCTACTCATCGCCTGGCACGCCAACAGCTAATCGTTTTGTGAGCCTAAATCCTAGAGATCCCACCTTCCTGCACCAGCAACAGGTGAGGTTTCACCCCCTTCAGCACTCAGCTCACCTGTTCATCTTATCCTTTCACCCCTTCCCACGTCTCCACCCATTTTATGAAATCCCTGCTCTCTACAAAATCCAGAAACACACTGCTACTGACTTCTAGGGAGCAGTAAATGATCCCTTTAGATTAGAGCACTTCAGATGTTCAGATTAAACGACAGATAAGTTGAGGTCAACCGTAGCCGTGGATGCTGGCATAAAAAATTAGCAATGCTTTCTTTTATTTGTTTATTTGTTTGTTTGTTCAAACCACAATTGAACCTTTGATATGCAAGCATAATATTTTCACTTTGGAATTGAGAAGCTTAAATTAACAGCTTAAATTATGCCCATTTTAAACTATCATTTTGAGCGAGTGTGCTTGAATTTAAATTCCACACTTGAGGAAAAAGAGACCTTACGAAAGGTGAAGGGTCATTGCCATTAGAAGCTGGATGGTACACATGGATGCTTTTGAGAGTGAAACGTGTTCATTTTTGTTTCCTCTACACATACTTTAGAAGCTCTCACACGCATACCACACGTAATCAGCACACTCATTTACCTCATTTACCGTACACGTGCTAAATATGTAGCGTTGGCGTCGGGTGGTTGCCTCAGGACTGGCTACAGGATGTCCTGGGATAGATGTGTGTGTCTCTCTGTGTGTGGGGGTGTGCGTATCTGCGAGGTTAGAACTGTTGCGGTGTTGTCGGACGAGAGAGGGAGAGTGCTCTCCCCTACCCAGTCTTATTGAAAGCGCTGTTCTGAGCCAAGGCTTTTCCAACCACAACTAATTGAATGCATCTGCACACAGCTACATAATGATCGCTGGGTTTCTCCTCAGCTCACTTTTTTATGTTTAGTTTGAAAAAAAAAAAAGACAAAGCTGGCCTCTGTTTCCTCACTTCTCTTTCTGTCTTTCCTTTTCTCTCTGCCTTTTTCACTTGAATTTCCTAAAATCAGGGCAAAAAAACCCAAAAAAAAACACAGGGGGGAATATTTGTCAGCAGTCGTGGGATGCTTTTATCCCACTCGGGAGGAGAGGGAGGAGGAGAGGGAGGATTCACTTGGCTGATGTCGCACAGTTTGTCTTCCACATTTCTAGTAGCCCTGCTACTTCTTTCAGTGGGGCACAAAGTGACTACACAAGACAGCGGCAGTCTGAGAGTAGCTGCATGAACTGCTGAATTTTGTCCAAACCGTGGCTCCCTGAGGCTACAAAGCCTTTCTGTTTCAGATTTTGAAATCAGCCAGATATATAAAGATCCCCTCAGTAAGGACTGCTGGCTCTTAAAATAAAGAAATATAGTCAAAGATTTAATTACTAGTTTTATTAGTTAATGACAGTTATGTTTTGGTGGCATAATTCTGTGATTTTTATTGCACTGACAAGTCAAAAGATGAATTATTTTGGGCCTTACATATTCCCGTAGATTTGGTTTGGGAAGCATTTTATCAAAAAGACAGTAGTTTAGAAATGTAGAAGAATGAGAGCCTTGTAAGCATAACAATGATACCTTTCTGAAAGGTTACATGCTATATCCCCAAGAATAAATGTTTGTGTCGGCTTAAGGAAGTCTAAACAGTCCTCGCATTGATTCATCATGCTTCTGCTTGTCGCAGTTGTTTTTGTTTTCTGTGGTATGATTTAGCGGCCTAGGATCTGGCCCCGTGGAGCGGAGAGAGACACCGAGCCAAGTCCCTCAGGACTAAACACTTTCACCGAATGCTCAGTCATTGTCCTCATCTGGCAATGATGCGTATTGTGTGGGGGGTCCATAAGACTTTACTGTCGATGTCAGTTGTTTGGTTGAAGCCGTTTCTGGCTAGGCTCGGTAGGAACGAGGACGAGAAGGAACGGGAAAGAGACAGTCAAGGTTTTTAAATGCGGTCAGCCTTGTGTCTGGACCGTGGAGGTTCAGTCTCTGTCTGTATGTGTGATTGATAGAGGCCGTGACTTCCGTTGAATCTGTTTCGCATTTCCTTGCCGCTGCCAGGGATATTAAATAAAATAAACCAAAAGCAGAGGGCTCTGATGGAACTACAGTTTTTGGAATACCCAAGTCATTATTTTAGCCCCATAGCACACACATGAGTTTCCTGATCATCATCGAATTACGAATTATTGTTAAATTTATATCTCATTGCTATAAAAAAGCATGTCTCCTGTGATAACTTGCTAATGAATTCAAAAAAAATCTACTTCTCACCGGATGCCTATTTTAAAATATCGCACCACCGAAATAGAGATCCTCGGACACAGACACACTAATACTAGGCTTCAAAATGAAAACACAAAACAAACCACCACCACACGCTCTCACACCTGCTCTACGATTCCCAGGCAATGAATGTGTGAAAACCCTCCATTCATCTCTCGCCTTGGTTAACCCCTCGAGGGAATGCCAGCATCTAGCATTCCGCAGGGAAAGATCCGTGATCAGATGTCATTTGGTATTATCTAAGGAAGGATTGTAATCCACAATCTGCCCGCATCTGTTTGCTAACGTTCCCCGGCTCCTTCCCCTTTTTTCCCCGCTGCCCGTGCGACTCTGATGTGTCGGTGCCAGCGGACAGATGGCGAGCCCCTCGAGGAGCGGTGGCACCGAGCGTCTGGCCCAACCCGCGCATTCTCTCCAAGCTTTTGTCAGGCTGGAGAGTGCGGGAACAGCGTGGGGGTTTGGTCTCCCAGCATTTGATAAATACTGAGAAAACACACTGAATGAAACAAGTTTGCGTTGTTTCCTATTCAGTTTTATTAATCAGCCGCTCAAAGCAATTCATCAAGTGAAAGCGATACGTTAAATTGAAACCAAATGACTGTTATTGCGTCACCGTTGCTTAAAATGAATTCCCTTTGCTGGTTGTTTCTTGCCATTACTTCACATTTGTTCCAGGAAAGATGAAGGAACACAACGCAAACATCCCTCAATTTAAGTATGGCTTAAGTAGGAAACCATCAGCCCCCCACCCCACCCCTCCCGATGTGTTCATCCAGGTGCTCGGAGAAAAAAGAACACATTTCTTGACCGTTGCAAATGGCTCTGAATATTCAGCGTCTGCGTATATCTGATTAAATCCCTCTTAAGAGCCTCTGCAAAACGTCTGCCACTGCACGAGGAGTGCTAACAGTGCAGTTTTATCCCGATGCATTACTAAATGAATGTGTTGACCACGGGGCAAGGTTAGGTTGGTATTGGCAGAGATAGCTCTCAGCTGGATTGCCGACACGTGCGCTCGCATAATGCATGCAAAGGAGACACAGTTTGTGCGTGGCTTTTTTTGTTGCAGTAATTTGTAATCTGTATGTCAGGTTGGCATGTCTTAAAACAGGGGAGAAAGGGTTAGTGTGCGCGTTGACGCGTGCGTGTATTTGTGTGTGTGTGTGTGTGGGCGAGTGCTGTAACTTCATTGTAATTGCGACCCTTAATCAATAAAAACAGTTAGCTAATGAAAAAAGTCTGCATGCTTGAGGGCATGCGTCCTGAATCTGAAAGTGCACTTAGAGTGAAGCAATCACTATGGACAGGGTGCATGCATCCAGTGGATTGCATGGCTTCATTGGTTTACCAGGTAAAATGAAATAAATAAATAAACAAGCAAAAACAGTAGAGACTGCTCACAGATGAACTTCCTGTATGATGCCACTCACATTTTCTAACTAACTAACTTCGTTTTGTTTTTTGTTTTGCTTCCAGGTTAGCTGTTTCCACTAACTGTAATGCATGCTTTTTATTTTCTGTCTGTTTCACCTGTAGCTGTTATTTTATCTCAATAAGTATTAAAAACACACTGACTCAGTTTTCATTCTTAGGATTCATTTTGGAGCCTTTTTTTTTTTTTTTAAAGAAATCTATTTTTTATTTCCCGTGCTCCTGTCCTAGGCTCTTTTGCATGCATGTGTGTATACAGTGTTGAGTTGTAGTGTAATCTGAAGTGGAAGTTGTCTTGGCCCAGTGATCTGACTGCTAGGTTTCAATTGACAGCTGAGGAAGTGTGACTGGAGCGTGACTCAAAACGGCAGGCATTATGGCCCCAGTGCCACTGACGACACTTTGGGGATTACTTGGCAAAGGTAACCTTTTCATTCTTTCATGCCGTCTCTCTCTGTCTCTCTTTCAGCACACGCACAAACACACAACATATAAGCATTGAAATGAGTAACTCAGTATAATGTATGATTTCCTTGATTGTCTCCTCTTTACGTTCACATATAAACGCAATTACGGGGCCAGTAGCCGTGGCTGTTATTGCTGCAGATGTTAACCTTTTGCGAGATGAGGTCATGCCTTTGATAAAACACACGTTTCCTTGTGTCTCCCTCATGTTTTCTTTCCCCCGCCCCCTTTCTGTTGCTTCATCTCCTTTTCCATGCCTTAATAGTTTTATACATTTCCCAGTAACTTCTTCTTGTTTTGCACTTGAGAATTCGATTAGCAGCGGAGTCCCTTCATCCTGTTTTTTCCAGAACCGACTTTTGTAAATGCACACGAACACAAACCACGAGAGGAGAAGGTCATATTTTCTTTTCATATTTGTTGGAAAGCGATAAATATAAATACCAATATTATATTTAGCTGCATAACAACAACTCTTGCAGTGTGATTCAGCTTTTGAAATAAAGCCTTTCTTCCTCTTGGATTCATTCTTAATAACAACAACAAAATAATGCTTTGATGTAACTAATTTGACAAAGCATGTGGAAAATTTAAAAAAGGAAGTCATTTCAGGTCAGATTGTTAGCCATGTGCGGTTAAGTTGCTCGCTGTATTTGAACAAGCTTAGCTTTGTTTAACTTTGTGCTCAAGTAATGCTTTACTCTCTGTAACTTAAAGTTACAGACCCCCCACCTTCCACACACACACACACACACACACATACACACCCCTCCTCCCTCGCTTCCATACTGTATCTCTTCCTCTCTGGGGGAAAACCTGAACCATTTCACCATGCTAGAGCGAGCAAGCTGAGCTAAGCCTTTTCCTGTTACGTCTCCCCTTTCCCCTTTTCCCTGGATATGTACAGTGTGTGTGGGTGTGTGTGTGAGTGTGTGTGTGGGTGTACAGGTCATTTTGCGCTCGCTGAAGTTACAAATGTTTTTACAAACACAAACGCACACAGCAGAACCCCCTTCGAAAGGCCTCCTAATGGGCCAGTAGAGATAGCAGAGAAAAATGTCCCCCGCTGCAAGCCTGAGGTCTCTTTTTCCACTCGCACTCCAGCTCACTCCTCCTCCTTTCGCCATGTGACTCGTACAGTAATAAGAAAAGATAGAATAGATCCCGACTGGATTCAGTTTACATTATTTCGAGGATGGGGACGGTAATTCTATTACACTTTTTTTTTTTCCCTCTTTGATGGATTATTTACGCCCAATCGTTCAACATAAAGATGAGATCAGTTTGATTTCTCCTTTATCTTGCTCGCCCCTTCAAATGGGGCGCTTCGCTAGGCCTCTTCAGTACTAGCCCTCAAATTAAAAAGCTGCCAGACTCGCATGTTGCTATTGTGCAGGAAATGGGTCAGCAATCCATTAAGATGCCATTAGATAATCTAATTTAGGGAGCTAATCCTTAAACGAAGCACGCTGTATGGCCAGGCTGTGCTCGCGGGGAGTAGAATTAGTGAGGTTTGGGAGCCGGACAGGGCAGGGGGAGGCCATCTTGAAGGTTACCTAAGGAAACGCGGCGATGGAGGTCAGGTCTTTTAGCCGTGCTCAGAGCTGCTCGTGAGGAGACAAAATCTAGAGCTGCACTGATGCAGGTTAAGATTGCAACAACAACAAATAGCTTCAAATAAAATGTTTGTCTTTATGTTATGTCTTTTTAATTATTTAAAAGCTACAGGGGACAAAATACCTGACTTCTGTGAATGGGGCCCTTAGTTCCTGCACAGTTTGAATTGCAAGTTCAGTCATACTAATGAGGCAACTGATCCCCTCCCCACACACACACACCCTAATGCATGCACAGACACTGATTCAGAGAGTTATTCTGTACTGTAAAACAAAAAACTTGCTTATAGGATGCAGGTGCGGACAGGCAGCCAGTTTAAAACTGATCTGTGGGGAAAAAAAGTGCATTTTTGTAGCTGTTTGACCCCCCACACACCTACTAAACAATGTAAGCCATTACCTGAGAGGCGTTTCATAAGAAAAGCGAAACATTGCGAGATAAAAGAAGGGAAGGAAGGAAGAAAGAAAAGGAGAGCGCTGCAGTCCTTGGCCGCTCTGTGCGCTCTTTGTTCAGAAAGGTAGGAAAAACTTAATCCCCCGTTTCCTGTCCGATGATTTTTGGCAGAGTGAAAGAGAGAAGGAGGGAGGGACGAGGATAGAACGAGGACGGGCTGGACGGTAAAAAAAAAAAACTGCTAGAGAGGATTAGCCTTGAAGTCTTTTTTTAACACTTTGCGCACTGAAACGCAACCTAAAACTTGAGTGATGTTTGCTTTTGTTTTGAATGCGTCTCCTCGGCTCTTGTGTTTTCTGTCTTTCACTCTTTATTAGCGAGTCGGGCCTCTCGGGCCGTGAGGTGAATTGAATTTGCACTTCCATTGTTTTAAGTAAAAGAGCGGTGACTAGTGATTTGTAAAAAATGCAGACTGGTTGATGAGTTGCTTTTATGAGCCCAGACAGTGTTGTTCTAATACTGAAGTTTCACAAAGAGTCGAGTCTCTGCACAGGAGCATCATCAGACTCGAGGCTTGTCTTGTGTTTTGTTTCATGTGAAGAAAACCCCCAGAAAACAAAACCTCCTTGTCCCCTTTTTCCATCTAAGCCTGCTTTCCTTTTCTTTCCTTTTTTCTGCATTTTCCCTTCACTCCTGCGTTCCTCACTTTTATCTGTTTCCTGCTCTTTTTTCCATCCATCACGTTTCAGCTGCTGCAACAGAGTGCTGATGCTTCGTATGCGTGCATCGGTTATTGGTGAAAAGTGTAACACAGGTATTTTCATACTTAGCGGGAGTGATACGAGAGGTGGGAGGGGGTTAGATGAGTGCACACTGGGGCCCTGCGGGGAAGAAAAGAGGAAGGGGGGGCTAATTATCTGACATCTACGTTGCGCAGCACCCCTCGGGAACAACATGCTGTTTGTTCCCGCTCGCGTTTTCAGTTAGCACCGTTGCTCCCCAGGAACAATCACTGTGTTGTTTTGCCATTAGCGTGAGATGAATAGGGATGGAACAGCTTTGTGTAGGGACCCCCACACTTTTTACCCACAACCACTCCTCCTTCACCGCCGCTACCAATCGCGCTCCTCCTCCTCCCCATCGCGCTTTTCTCCACCGCCGTTAATGCACAGAAGAGCGGCTGCGTCACGGCTCTCTCACACGATGTCCTTCACTGGGAATCAAGTGGGATCCCCTCAGCTTAGTTTAACGAGCTTTTATTTTGTTTATCTGCGTTTGAACAAACCAACAGCGAGACCACGAACCTCAATGACAGCAGAGCTGGTCATTAGCGAAGCAGCGTTCAGGATAACTGGGTGAAAGAATCTGATTTTTACTGCAAACGGCACAGGAGTAATCTCGTTGTCTCTCTCTGTGTCTCTCTGTCTCCACAGTCCTGGTACCTGGGCGAGCTTAGTTCCATTCCAAGTGTCGAACGGGACTCCGATTCTGCCAACAAATGTCCACCAGAACTACAGCATAAACATCATTGGTGAGCCCCTGGTCCCCGCCGAGACAGGGAACTGATCACACAGAGGCCGGATGACCCCCAGGGTGGATAGATGGGTGGGGGCGTTGGTAGTGCGGAGCTAGCACTACAGGTGTCCACAGCCATGGATGAAACCAGCAAAGCAGCAAGCGCTGCATAACCCTCTCTACTATCCCCCCCCAACCCTCATCCCAGCCCCTCCTTGTTCCCTCCCCACTCCCGTCCCTCCCGATGATGGACACTGGCCCTGAAGTGAAGATGAGGGTTCGTTCAGAGGAAAGAAGAAAAAAAAAAACCCAAGAAGCTTCAGGTCTGCTGTCTCCTCACCCCGGCCCACACACACACAAACACACACACCTACCACCCACCAGTCAGTTGTTGTGTGTTGCAGAACTTTGCAATCCATTCAGATACTGTGATGTATAGATGCCTTAATGTTTTATTGCATGACACTCTAGTCTCTTAGCGGCGATTCCTATTATTTTTCCATGTTGGAGGAAGATGTAAAATCTAGATTTACAAACACACCCACACACACACACGCATAAGTGAGGGGGTCTGCATATTTGACAACCTCTGCCTGGTGGATGGCTCAGAGACTCTAAGCTCTCCAACTGAGACCTCTTGAGAAGAGGCTTTCCCGCATCAAACGATTCACTGTGTGCACCATAGGAACAAAAACTTGTGAATTCAGAGTGTTTCTTCTTCCATTTGATTTCAGTTTACTGTGATACGACTCTTTGTTCAGAAAAATGTGTTGACTTTGTTTATTCTTTACTGCTACTTACTTCATGAATTAATGTAAACACTTAGGCCCCTTTCAGACATGGCTTCACGGGTTTGTCAAAGCGATTAAGACACCGGTAACTCTTACGTGAGCGCTCCTCACGGCAACGCAGACAGCCTCGGTATGTGCAAAAGGCTTGCTGCATTTGTGGCCGCAAGATGTGCCCGGCGATATTTAATTCTCTTCGCTGCCACAGACCCTGTTCACAGGAGACATTTCCACATGACAGGATGATGGCTCAGTTTTCATTAAGTGTCCCAGTAGGTCATGGCAAGCTGGGCAGCGAGCAAGCAAACACAACAGCAGGACTTCCCCGACCTTTTTACTTGGTCTGAGCCAGCAGCATCTCTGAGATGGGCACAGGATGTTCTTCAGTGGCAACGCTGGACGCCAAAAGCAAACCCTCCTGGCTGAAAGGGCAACAAAGTCTGCACAAGTTAGGATGGGTGTTGGTGGGGTAAACTGCCATCATCTGGAGCGTCATCCAGCATCCAGACAGATAGCAGTTCCTGTCCTGTGGGACATGTTTTGGCTAAAAACCACACCAGTTCACAGCTTTCCAATTGAAAAGTGATGGTTAAGAGGTTACCTAGAGCGTTAAGTGGTGACACCAGTGGGTCCTCACAGAACATCTGCATGTTGCACCCTTTCCTGCTTTGATATGTTAAAATATCTGCTGTGAAAACAGTGAAAACGCCCTCTTCTGCACGGTAAACTTGTGCGTGCCTGTCCGACCTGCGCCGTGTCGAAAGCTGCCCGTAAATGTTAAGATGCTGTCAGATTAATGGAGAGGAGTGCATGTCTGAAAGGGGCTTTATGGGTAAAGGTTGAGAACTCTAAATGCAGTTTTCAAAACAACACTAAATGCTAGGCTTGAGATTGGACCCCTCACGAAAGAATTAGCATCTCCTTTAAAAAAAGGAATATAAAAAAAAAAAAAATGCGACAGAGGCAAGTGCAATTGAATTTTTGAAGGGAAGCTATCAGTCTGTCAGCCCTAAGACTCTAAAGGAAGGGGGATAAATATGAAATGTTTTATGGGTAAAATGTTTGAGAAAACATCTGAATTTGATTTCAGTCACGATATCCGTCTCCTCGCGTGGAAAAAAGTTTTAAAAAAATTTAAAAAAAGTAAAAACATTAAGTAGGAAAGGCAGTTGAAGGCGAGCATTAAAGCTACCTGTGCAGCGCTGAGCAAAACCAGCACTTATTTTGAGCCCTTCCCATCATTATGGGGAGATTTTTTTTTAATTTATTTCAGAAAAAAAAGAAAAATCGTTAAGTAAAGAAAACGAGATGCACATAGTGCGCATAAATGTTCACGATGAGATCAAGAGCATACGCATTTGGCCAACAGCTTCTAAAGCTTATGTTTACGAAAAAAAAAAGAAAATAAGAAGTGTTAATTCATGGGAAAATTTGTATTATTCATGCAAATGTAGCGTGGGCTTATGGGTAAAGCTACAGTTTGTGCAAGGTTAACTCTAAAGTGGAAGAGGTTGAAAGCTGAAATTCCGAATCCAGGTGGTGGCAAATCCCCGAAATCAAGAATTGCGCGTGGCGTGTTCACGGCCATTGCCTCTCCAGTCCAGACATATTTATATACAAGGAAAAAAAAAATCTCTCCAGTACTCTTAATTTGCACGATGACATATAGTCCACATTACGTGCCTTGCCTTTGAATATAGAGACATCACTACACTTGTTTTTTGCTGCATTTATCATTATAGAAAAAAAAATTAACATTTTTATGATAAGAATTGTTTTGTACTCTGAATGAAATTGTTGATTTTTAACTTCATGTACTACTCTATGTCACAGTTACATTGCATATCAAGGCTGTGTATAGTTGCCGTTTTAAAGTTTGTAATCAACCAGCATTTTTTTTTGTTTGTTTGTTTGTTTGTTTGTTTTCAGTATTTCGGTGGTTTTTCTAATAACCTGTCATCTTTTGTTTTCCTTATTTTTGTTTTTTTTCAATGCTCATTTCGTTCATCTTCCAGTTACTATTGCGGAGGGTGGAATTCAGAATTATGAAAATTATGCAATACCAAGTTTTGCCTATGTAGGTAGTGCTTATAGATGCGTCAATTATTAGAGGCTAGTTTGGAGATAGATAATATTGTAATGCATTTATTTTGTTGATATCGTTGTTTGTCGTTGTTGTTGTTGATGATGTTGTTGTTGTTGTTGTTGTTGTTGTGGGTGTTTTTTTCTTTTCCTTTTTTATCGACCAAAGTGGGGACTGCTTCCTATGCAGTGTGAGACAAGGTCTTTTTTTTCTCCTTTTTTTCTTTCTTTAGCTTATAGGCCTACCGAACGACGGTGAGACATGTTCCCGTGTATTATGAATTTGGGAGATTTGGGAGGAGGGGTGGTATTTTTCTAGAAGTACTTATCTTAAAATGATGCACCCTTGGGCTTGCTGCGGCTGCAAAGTCACTGATTGGTCTACTGTGACTCTTACTTTCAACTTTCCACCTGGGGTGCTAGCGTGTGACCTCGAAGGAGCTCTTTTTTTCTTCTTCTTCTTCCACTGGAGAGACAGCTTGACTTGAGCGCGACAATCATTTGAAGAAATCATTTTTGCGTAGAATCCCGTTCTGTCTCGGCTTCCCGAGAGCCGCAGCCGATGGCGTCGCGCGCGTTTTTTCCGAATCTTTACGCCGTGCTATTCTAGATGTCGCCGGATGCAATTCCCAAGTAGATGCCTTAAACACATCAGTGAAGTGGCCTGTGACTGCGCAACAATCACACACCGACTAATGCTAGTGAGACCTGTTGAAATCAGTTCTAGACAGGCTCAAGCAAGCCTTTAGAAAGTATTTTATAAGTAGTAGATTTGTATAAATGTATATACGATATGCACATATGTCAATTCCTGAGACGCTTCCCTAGCAGAAGCCCCGTAGAGTATGTTAAAGGAAATATTGGACTGCAGGAGTGTGGTGTCTTCTAACTTCCTGTCCAAATGCCCCCAGTAGAAGCTTAAATAGAATCCACTAGGAGAACAAAATCTAGCACTTAAATAGCACATAGGCAATCATCTCCCCCACCCCCCATCCTCGTCCTACAGTGTTCAGAAGTCAAACTAAACCTCTCAGGCGTATTACAGGGCATTATTTATATCAATCGATACCTTGCCATTTTTATTGTAAAAAAAATCTCTCGCAGAAAGCTGCAGCGCAGCCAGTGCTGCTATGACACCTTTTGCACTCTTTCCCTGCAATCGTGAAAGAAACGTTTTCCTTCGGAGAGTTCCCCCGAGAGCTCTCCGGCGCCAGCAGAGGGCTAAGGAGCAGAAATCGTTGTTAAAAAGTAATCCTCAAGTCAAGCTCAATCTCTCCGTCTTCACCCAGATTTCTCACGCAGAAAGAAAATGTTTGAAAAAAACAAAACGAAAAAAGTCACCCCGTTGTAAGTGCACTGCTCTTTTTTTTTCTTGGTTGCTTTTTTTTTCTTTTAAAAGGAAAAAAACTATAAGTGCTTTGCAGCCTTTGGCCATTGGAGACCCCACTGAAGTGCATTGTCCCCAAGTGTGTGTGTGTGTGTGTGTGTGTTTGTGTGTGCGCAACTTAAAAGTGTGTCAGGGTCACTGTGCTGTTGTGCTGGTGTCTGTTTGAAGAGGAGACTGTACATAATGGTAAATATCCTGACTGCGTCGATAGCTGCGGTCTGCGAGGCTGAACTCTGCTTTGGCAGCTTGAGCGTGCGTGCAAGTGCGTGCAAGTGCGTGCAAGTGCGTACGCGGTTAAATTTCCGAGCTGGATGTATGATCGAGTGCCTCCGACACTACACAGCGATAGAAGATGAGGGTCTTTCTGTCGAGGAAAAGAAAAAGCCTGCCGTAGGACAGGAGTTTGTACACTGTAAACTTTCGGGGGAGTTCTTCTTTGAAGCCCACATTTGTAAATGTTCATTTCTGGGGAAAATGAGTCAATTCCATTTTAGGAAGAAAAAAAAAAGAAAAAACAAACAAAAAAAATGTTTTTTTAAATTTGGATTTGTTTGTTTCAGAGACTGGATTTGAGTTAGAACTCTCCAGGTTTCTCTGATTAGTGTTTTCATCAGGTGTTCCTGTATGTAAAGATAAAAGAGGGGGGGTCGGGGAGGGAGTGTGTATTCTGTACTGATCCATAAATATTAAGAAACAACAACATTGAAGGCTTTTTTTATTCTTATTAATATTATTTCTGAACTTGGTTAGTGCTTAGATATTTCCACTTGGGAAAGACTTCATGAATATTTGAATTGTTGTTCTTTCAGTAGTGTGGCCATAGAGCGTGTGATGTGATTTATCTCGGGGGTTGTTTTTTTTTCTTTTCTTTGGAAATGGGTGTGAATTCTTGTCCAACAAGATTGTGGTGTGAGTGTGTTTCTTGTAGCAGCTGGGAAGTAAACCTGTAAGGCAAAGGCCCCAGTTTGCACCTGACCTTAAGTGAGAAGCAGGGTCAAATCTGCAGTGACAAACGTCCTTGATGAATCTGTCGGATTTTATTTTATTTTTTCCTTTTTCTTCTTGTTCTTAAAAAAAAAATTCACAATTGTCGCAACGTGATTGGTGCTGCATCTCACCGTATATCTGGCAAGTTTGGAGCCGTGCGCATCGTTCGCATGCAGGCGATGCTGTTTTAAGAATTTCCTAAAAGAAAGCATCCACTCATTTTGCACTTTTGTCATTTCACACGTTGTCAAATCCTGATGTACTATAGGAAACCCTCCATTCACACTACAAACAAATACTGCATGCTTTTCAGGTGCTTCAGATTAGGGTACTGTACCTTCCAGCTGAGCTAGTGTTTTCGGGTTAAAAAAATCAGTGTTCAACCCATCAGCAGCTTCAAGAGCCCCCATTCAGAGCAAATACTGAGACTGGAAAGTATTATTACACTGATCGCTGCGATCACAGAGAAACAGGACGACTTTATGCAAGGAGGACCTGTGGCACTCATGCAATATGTGAGATTGTTCCTTTTTAACTGAATGTCACACATTCTGTAGGGACTTGAGAGGCTTGTACACATGCAGACTTAAGAGAAAACTTCATTTTCATCCTACATGAGCAATATACATCTTCCATACTTTGGCTAGCTGCTAGTCACTTGGCATCAGGTTGTTATGAAACATGAAAAACCAGCATTTTTACAGGATGTAACATTCACCAAAAGGAGACTAAAAGATAGCAATGCAGTGCCTGTTCAAGCTGTCCAAGTGTCTGTTGTATACAATATGTAGAATGTGATAGACTTAACTTTCCTACGTGGCGAGAAGAAAACGGCGTCACACCGAGCAGAATGTGGCAAACGCATCTGAAAATATGCTTTTTATCACTTCTTTTGGTGTTTTTTTGTGATTTATTCATTTTCGAATTACGTCAGCACACGATGCCCACGTCGGATTTGTTAAAAAAAATAATAATAGGAAATTCTTCTTCTTTCTTTTTTTTTCTTTTTTTTTCAGGGAGGGAGGGGGGAGTTGGGCGGGAGGGTCAGTGCTACATTAAGCGCAATGACGGAATTTCTTTAGTCACCATTTTTCTCTGCAGGGCTGATTTCTTTTTGGGTCTTGTGGCACTTTTACTTCCCTCTGCGCACACATTTCTATTTTAGGAATCACGGTGGAATCTATATATATATAAATATATAAAAGGAACAACAACAACAACACCAACAAAACAATATGTAAACAGTCTCCAGTAGTGATCGTAGTTACACTGCAAGTGTGTGCAAAGGTCTATGTATGTATCTGAATGTACGTTTTAGAGGACTTTTGGAAAACCTTTTTTTTGTTTTTTTGTTTTTTTGTTCTTTTCATCTTTTCATTTACAGTTTAGGAGCCACAGGTGTCCATTGTGAACTGTATAGCAAAGGCCTTGATATCCCTTCTTTTATTGATTTTTATCAACGCCACCCAATAGGCGATGCCTTCAAGCTAGTTACATTTGGTGCAGGGGCTAAAATTGCCACAAGATTAAAATCAGTGTAAATAAGGCTCAACTTTTTGTGATTGTTACTGTTATATCCAGCCTATACTGCTAGCAGCTGTTTTTACTGCAGTCAATTACTGGAAGTGGATATATTTCCTATGCAAAACTGTTTAAACAATAAAATGAGCTATGCTACAAAAATGACTTCATTACTGTGGCTCTTTCTTGTGTTTATTTATTGCATTTGGTCCTTGCTGATTGTGAATGATTGCAATTTGGCACATAAAAGTCCCA